AGGCGCTTGGGGCGCCGGGAGGGAACAGCGAGAGGGATCACTGGGAACACTGGGAATACTGGGAACACCGGGACAGCGACCGCCGGGACCAGCGCCACCACCGGGGACCCCCCGCCGGGAACGTCCCCCGGACTGTCCTTCCCCCTCGCGGGTCACTCACCTTCCTCTCTCCCCTCCCACCACCCGAGTCACCTCTTCCCACGGCGGGGAGAAAAGCTTCCCCCACCCCCTCGGGCTTCACATCACTCCAGGTACCTCCCAAGCTTCCCCTTCCATGGGATGAAGTGTTTCTCCTCCTTTCCCTTCCCACCTCTCTCCCCCCTCCCGTAGGTGCTCCTGGAAGGTTTGTGGGATGCTGGGGATGCTCTCCCAGAGGGTATCTATGTGTGTGGGTTTGGGAGGGAGTTGGGAACGCTCTGATTGCTTTGTTAGTTTTATTCTAAGAGTTCCTGCTTGAATTTCCCTGTTCACTTACCTGGCTGAGTGCTGGAGGCTGAGCTTTAAACTGGGGATTTTCATAAATATACCTAAATGGCTATTATAATATACCTAATATCAGATCTACCTAAATCAATTATACATAGCTAAATATGCCTAGATTATAAGAAGCACTACATTTATCTAGGAGTGTTTTGTTCCTTCACTGAGTAAAATGCTGCTTCTAATTCATTATCCTATTGTATTCCCAATGTCTCTCCTATGCTGTAAAATCTTGTTTGGGTGTTTTCTAGGAATTCATGGTTCTTTTGAATCAGTTTAGCAAAAATCTGTGAGAGCTGCCAACTGATTTTAGGATCTGACTGGTGGAGTGGAGAGAGGCCTTGAATTTTCACAGCGAAACCTGAGAGCTGTAACAGTATCAAATAAATAACTTGTATTATCAGAGACAGGAAATTCACTGAGTGCTCAGAGAAACAGATAAATTCACCCTGAGTTCTGGAGAGATATAAATTGCTATTTATGGCACAGCAAGGCTGATTTTTGAATGACTTTATTCCTCCTGTAGTTGCTCAGTGACCTCCACAGAGGGCAGAAATGATCTGGTTGAGAGTTAAGATTGGGAAAGAGGAATTTTTAGTCTCTGCAGACACACAGTGTGTAGCTCCTGAGGTGTTGGGTGGTCTATAAATACATGCCAGGGGTTAACCCATGGGCATAACTCAGCTGAAAGGTGTTGCTGAGCTGCTGGAGGATGGTGCAAACAGGAATTTTCCTCTGTTTTCAGGCACAGAGGAAACCTACAAGGGTTGTTTTTTTTAAGTATTGCTGGGGGGGGGGAACCCCATATTTTTAGGAGGAGGTGTTAATTAAATGCAAACTAGTCTCACTCTGATGAATAGCTGTTGTGTTTGTACCTTTTGCTTGGTTCCTGGGGACAGGGTTTGGGTTATGTATTGACTCAAAATGGGATTTGTGTTTGCCTATCCAGCTCACTGAAGAGATCAGATGGCTGCTCCTGAGAAAGATCCAGACCTGAGGCTCCAGCAGAACAGTCTATTGGGTAAGGACAGTCCTGCTGCTGTCAGATCCTGTTTCAGCTCCTCTCAGGAGACATATGGCCCTGAGAAGATTCTTTACCAAAAAGCTTTGTATTAATAAAAGTCTTATTCCTGCAAGGGTAAAGAATCATTCGATAGTGAATTTCTCTCTGCAGCAATAACTGATGAATTTGGGAGAGTTCTGAGCAGTTCATGAAAAATTTGCTTTAATTTGATCCCTTTTGCTGTGTGGCTGTGCTGCTGCTGCTGCTCTTCAGTCTGAGTTGCAGAGCATCAGTTGGGGGGAATAGCATCAAACTTATCAATGGGTATCTTTTTTCTGCCAGGGGAGGTTTAGATTAGATATTAGGAAGAGATTTTTTATGGAGAGAGTGATCAGACATTGGAATGTGCTGCCCAGGGAGGTGGTGGATTCACCATCCCTGGAGGTTTTCAGGCTGAGACTGGATGTGGCACTTAGTGCCATGGTCTGGTAACCACAGTAGGGTTGGACTTGATGATCTCGGAGGACTTTTCCAACCCAGTTGATTCTATGATTTAATTCACTACTTCTACTACATTTCTACTACTAATTTACTACTTTTTTACTACTTCTACTACATTGTGACTTCCATAACAAGACTGCTTTCATTCTCCTGTTGATATTATTTGTCTTCCTTGTGTTTGCTGCTGTTTCTTGATGCAGAGATTTGTTTTACCAGCAATGCAGGGAGCAAAAGAAAGATCAGCTTTGCTAGCACAGGTGATTAGATGTGGCTTAATTAGGTGTATAAAAAGGCTTTCCAGTCTGTTGGCTAAAGCATAAATATCCCTGTGTTTGACTCTCCAGATCCCAGCACCAGTCAGAGGAGTAAGTTCTTGGAGACTGACTGGAAGACACCAATGTTGTGTGTGAAGTCCCAGAGCCGAGTCAGTCGCTGTCCCAGTGTGGCTGAGAGTGGGGATGGAGGCATTGGGACCTCCTGCTCGGACAGCATGGAAGGTGATGGTCTCCAGCACACCTAGAATGTAAAATCAGGGGGAGCAGAACCTGTCAGGATGTTTGGAGACTATTCCAGCTGCTGTGCCTTGGATAGGCTGCCTGGAAAATAAACAAGGGATGAAGGGACTGGGTGTTTTCCCTGAGCTGGTTTGGTTGCTGTCTCACTGCAGTGGTTTGAGCTGACTAAGAGCCACTTTGGTGATTTGCTGGTTCCTATTGAGCAACAAGTGATTTTTCAGCAGGTCTGTTGTGTGACTGTCTAAAGAAATAACTCAGAGGTGTCTTTGTGCAGAAGTGTTTGTCCCTTCAGTGTTGGAGCTCTGCGTTTCTTGCTGATCTGGGAAACTGATTGTCCCAACAATCCTTTCCACCTGTATTTTCATTGAGATTCCTTTCAGCAGCCAGGAAGGTTGTGGTGATGTGTTTCAGGAGCTGCCTGGAGCCTTTGGAATGAGCCATCCCTCCTAATAACATGCAGGTGAAATGAAGGATTTAGAAAGCTTGGCTGGTGGAAATATTGCTAGAAATATTACACAAGCACATGTTGAAGTGTCCCATCAAGCCTCTCTCAGGATAATAAACCACCCAGCTACAGGTGAGGGCACAGGAGGTGATTTCCCTGTGGGAAATGGCCCCTCTGAGCACTGGTGATGTCATGTAAGAGCTGAGGCACACTGAGATCAGTACATGAGTCAGAAATGTTGTAAGGACCCTGAGCAGTCTCAGGGAACTGATTGCAGCACCCACACGTGGTGTGCTGGGCAGGGAGCTCGAGTTCTGACAGTGCTGCTGGGGGATAAATTTAGGGACTGTAAAAGGAAATGGTACTGTCTCTTCTTTTGCCAAGGTGAACTGCCTGGTAGCATAGTGTTCTCTGGAGCTCCCAGGCACTGCCAAGTCATGGCCAAGAGGTTTTTCTTTTCCCCCTTCTGCTCATTTTTGACGAGAGGATCTTGTGCCTTTATTGTGTCAGTTTTCCTGCAGTTTGATGATCGTTGCAGTCTGATTTTGGTCCTGTTCAAATTGTACTGTTTGTTCCTCCTTGTGGCAGTGCTTGGAGGGCACAAACAGGTGGGAAGGGTGACTTGCAGTCCTGCTGTTGGATTAAAGGAACATCACATGGGGATGGGCCTTTGGCCAAAGCCATGAGGAAAACAAGTTGGAGGATCTGGGAGAAACCTGGAATTACTGTGATACAGAATGTATTGGGACGAGGAGTGGGAACAGGCACTTCTGTTTGCCTTTCTCAGCTCTTGCTGTCGCTGTATTGAAATCTGAGAGTTGCTAAGAATAACTTGGGTTTGGTGCAGCCCAGGTTTGGTGCCCCCTGACAGGCTCACTCTGAGCTCTGCCTCATTTCCTGGGGCAGTAAGGCAAAGAACCATTGCTCCAACCTCTGGAACAGGCTCTTTGTGTCCTGGAGGAGCTGGAAGGTCAACTGCTGGGGTTCAGCTATGCTTGAGGCTCATCATGGGCTCAGGGAAGGCTCAGTGTTCAGCTGAGTAAGTTTCAGCCTTTTTTTATTCCATTTTAAGGACTTGATTTCTAAACCTGTCAAAAGACAACCTTACTGGTTTAAGAGAGTGGCTTAAAAACAAGGGTTAGGAATGTGTATTGGATTCAACTTGGATTCTCCCTGTGGTTTGTGGTGGTAGGAAAAGGTCAGCAGGTTCCTGAAACTTGTAGTTTCCTCCTAACCTACTGCTTAGGAGGACATATTCAAGGGGAAAGGAATTGTTGTTTTATATTATTTTGGGAAGTTCAGCAGAGCTGAATCTTTTCAGGATTGTATTCAGAGCATCACTCTTATTTCTTCCCTAGACTTCTGCAATTCCAGTAACAGTTCCTCATTCCAGCCCATCAAAACCCAGGTGACCATTCCAACAGCTCACGTTATGCCTTCCACACTGGGTGCCTCTCCCTCCAAGCTGTGCTCTGCAGGAGACCAGAGCTGCTCCCAGGGCACTTCCAAGACCTCTGTGCCAGGATCTGCCTCTGACCACGCAGGAATCATGAGGAATGGGGATTTTAAGGCTGGGAAGGCCTCTCAGGTGCCCCCCAGGGATCTCCTGCGTCTTCACAGGACCTCAGGGGAAAATGGCTTTGAGCAACCTTGGCCTGCTGCTGCTGCAGATCCCACGAGAGCAGAGGACACTTGGAAGTTTGACACTCCTACCATTGAGCACACCCTCAACCAGTCTCTCTTCATGGACAGTGTGTGCACTGACCCTCTGCACAGGTGCCAGAAGTTCAACCCAAGCTCTGAGACAGGGAAGGACCATTACAAGGTGCTGCCAGAGAGCAAACCAGCAGGGCCCAACGGAGCGTGTGAGCCGCGGGACGGGCCGTGGCCAGGGGGGAGCAGAGTGCTGCCAACAGGACTCCAGGCCAACACTTTCTTCTCAAAGCCTCTAGTAACTCCTCCAGCTCGAGCCTGGCTGCAGGAAGGCTGCACACTACATCCCCACAAAGGGGTCTGTGAGCTCAGTGCTTGGAAACAGCAGCTGGACAAAGTGAGATTGCAGGTGGAGCAGATGCAGGTAGGGAGCTGCTTGTGTGACTGCATGAGTTTGAAACCTTTCCTGCCTCTCTGGTTAGGAGTTATCATCCCCAGGCTTAGGAAGCAAGGGGGAAAATGGCTCATGCTTCTCCCTGTGTGACACTGCAAGTCTCCTGGTGATCTGTTTTGGAGCATGTGGTGTCACAGGTATCGTCTGACTCGCTGTCTATGCAGAGCAGCTCTGGGTTATGTTACAGCTCTGCACCAAGCTGAGATCAAGAGCTGAAACACCCTGTCTGCCAGAAACTCTGAATAAAGAGCATGCCAAGGGGGTCTGAACAGTTTCTCGAGGGATTTTATTCTGTATCAAGACTTTGGAAAAGATGCAGAAAGCTAACTGCAGTTCATTAGGTGGAAACAGTTTGTTTTGATCACCTCCCAGCAGCCCTACCCTAATGGAGACAGATTGTTTCCAGCGAGCTAGCACAGTGATCTAAAATTATTTGTTAATCTCTAGTTGTGCTTGGGCAAAGTTACTTGTTCTTGGAGATCAGCAGGGACTGAAATAGCCTTGTCCTGGCATGCAGATGAGCACACAGTGTGCAAAATAGCTCCAGCAGTGTTGCAATTACCTCTGTGGTGCACAAACCTCTCCCTCCTTGTTTTGTCTCCTCTTGCAGTTACAAAATGGAGGCACCTGCCCCCATTCCTCCATGTGTTCTCCATCCCTGCCCTCACCTGATCCAGCTCAGTGGATCAATATCCTGAACTCCAATGAAAACCTACTCAAGGAGAAAGAGCTCCTCATTGACAGGTGAGAGGTTACTACTGCCCCTGACTCCAGTGCATTTCCTCTTGGAAAGGAGCAAGGAAAGGTCATTTCTCAAGTCCCTTTTACCCAACTGAGAGGTAAAGAAGATAATGACCTTAGAGAACAGCCTGAGCTCTTCCCTCCTTCCTCTTGGAGTTAGGAGGATGATTTGGAAGGATTCAGACAGATTAATTTTGGTTATGGCTTTGTGTGTTTTATAAGGGACAAAGAATGGAATGTCAACGCTGTTGCCTGTTTGCTTAAGGTCTTTCTGGGAGCTCTTTGGGATCTTTATTTTACATTTGTTCTATGTGAATTTGGGCTGGCAAACAACATTTCTCTTACCTGAGGCTTGTGGTCCACAACCTTTTTGAAGAAGTAAGTCCTAATGAAAATACCTTCAGCATTTGGACACTAAGTGCTTTTTCTTCCTTATTTTGGGTCATCTGCTGCCTGTTCATTTCACTCATTAACTCCACAGCCAAGCTGGATCCTTCAAAACATGCAAGGCTTGTGTGTTTTATCTGTCATCATTGCTGGGGAGAAGGGTTTGAAGGGAAGGGAGGGAAGAAAAGTTAGTTGCATTGTGAAAAAGTCAAAATGGATTCTCTTTCAGATTGTTTCTCTGCAGGTCAGGTCTGAGTTGCAGAGTTCTCTTTCTCCTCTGCTTGGCACTGTGTGGAGCATCAGAGTCCTGGTGCTGTTTGTGTTGTATTGTTGCTCTCCACTGTGTGTTTGGGAGCACTGAATGACCTGTTTTTTTTCCCAGGCAAAGGCAGCACATATCCCAGCTGGAGCAGAAGGTCAGGGAAAGTGAGCTGCAGGTTCACAGTGCCCTGCTGGGCTGTCCTGCATCCTATGGAGATGTCTACATGCTGAGGCTGCAGGTAACTGGCTACAGCAGGTGTCAGGAGGAAACAGCTATTGAATCCAATGGCCTTCCCACTTGTCCTTAGGTGTTTGCTGAGTTAGGACTATGCAGAGTCCAATTATCCTTTGTATGGAGTTGTCCCGATTACCTCTCACCTCTGGGATCCTCTGTGACCCTTGAGATCTCAAGCCCTTAAATACTTTGGTTGGGTTAGCAGCTCTGCTAATGATGCCAATGCCTGGCAGCACTGGGAAATGCTGGATCAGATAGTGCAGTGGGTGAGATGGGCTAAGGGATGTTTGGGAATGAGGAGGGATGAGAACACAGCTCTGGGGCAGCACAGCTGAGTGCCAGTTTGTAACCACATTCATGGGCTGTGTCTGTCTGCAGGAGCTGCAGAGGGAGAACACCTTCCTTCGAGCACAGTTCACAGAGAAGTCTGAATCCCTAAGCAAGGAGAACCTTGAGTTGGAGAGAAAACTGGCTGCTGCAGAGGTGGATGTGAAGCTGGTCCGGGAGTCTCTGAAGGAAACTGTGCAGAAACATGCAGAGGAGTTAAAGAAACAGGAAGAAAGGGTATGATCCCATTGCTCTAGACATGGGAAGGTGTGATCTTTGAGAAGCCAAAAGTCAATATAGTGCTGAGATGAAGGTTTTCTGTAGCAGTCTGTAATTGCAGGTGTTAGAAGCATTCCAGTACCTCCTCTTTTAACCAAGGAAGCCTGTCTTTAGTTAGATGAGAAATGCTCATTTAGCTAAAGATGAATGCACATTAAGGTGATCTTGTGTTTCTTTTGGTGTTGAGTGCTGTGCAAAATCTGAATGGTTTACAGAAGACTGAAGAATAGACAAGGAGTTACATAAACTGAATTCCTATGTTCCTGTCCCTGCAGGTAAAGGGAAGAGACAAACACATTAATAACCTGAAAAAGAAATGCCAGAAAGAATCTGAACAAAACAGAGAGAGACAGCAGAGAATTGAGACCCTGGAAAGGTACCTGGCTGACCTGCCCACCCTTGAGGACCACCAGAAACAGAGTCAGAAGGTAGAATTCCCTCTGAGTTGTGATGATAACTCTTGGTGTGCTTGCTGAGGTGACTTTTCTGTAGCTGCAGTTACTCCTTTTCGTTGCAGCTGAAGGAATGTGAACTGAAGAGTACTACTATGCAGGAAACGATGCTGGCACTGGAAACAGAGCTTGGAGATGTCCAGGCTGCTTTCAGGGAGCAAGAGATGCAGCTAGAAACCCAAAAACACAAGGAGCTGGAGCTTCTCTCCACTGTGCGCAGGTAAGAATGAGGAGGATTACAATAATCTTCCTCTTAGCACTGCAGCAATCATTGCCCAACAACAGGAGATGCTTTGGCACTGTGTGACCTGTCAGAACCAGGTGACTGTGGGTTTGTGGTGAGTGCTGGGCCAAAACACTGTGGTCAAATTCTGCCTGCCTGAGCACACCCACATGGCTAAAAAAGGAGGCCCATGTTTTGTCACCTTCGGTCTGTGTCCTTGGGTTACTGCTCTCAGCTCTAACTCCTTGCAAAATAGACCTATACAACCTGAAGTTGTGTGTCTGCAATGTGCCAGTGGCACAGGCAGGACAGAGGGACTCCCTCTGGCACAGCCCTGGCAGTTTGGGAGCTGGGATCCAAACAGGACAGTGCTGACATCTGATATAAAAATCATTTCTCTCCTCGTGCTGAGGAAAACCCCCTGAGTAAAGCTGTTTTTCTCATGGTATTCTGCTAATTTCAGCTTGCAGGACAAGCTGCAGCAGTGTGTAAAGAATGCAGAGAGGGGATCCTCTGCCCAGGATGGGGAGAGACAGAGAATGGAAAATGACTCTCTGAAGAAAGAATGTGACTGCCTCAGGAAGGTAAGGGGCTGTCCCAGCTGGGAGTCACACATCTTTCCTTCCACTGAGTCATACCAGGCACTAAAAGGAAACCAGGGACTTTTGCAATCACAATTACACCGAAACAGCAGTTCCTGGAATTCTAAACTGAGAGGTTCTAAAAGCTCTTCATGGTGTGATAACCACACACTTCTACAGTCATGCGAGGGAGAAATTGCAGAATGGAGAAGAGGGGAGAGGAAAACCACAAGAAAGCAATATCTCCATCTGGTTTGAGCTGATACATCTAATGGTGCCTTTTATCAGGTGCCTTTTAACAGGGAATCCAAGTCCACTCCTAAGAGCAACAGTGATTAAAGCAGTAAGTGGACAGGAAAGAGAAGGAGAGGAGATGTTGCTCTACTGAAAGAGGAATCCTGGTGGTACTGCTGGATCTGTGTGCCCAGTTCTGATGCCTTTACTTTTGATTTCAGATTGTGGAGAAAAAGCAGAAGAAGATGGAGCAGTTGTCCTTGCAAGTAAAGGTGAGATGTGACTGGGAGGGACCTAGAACTGGACAAATCTGCTGTGAGGTGAGTTAGACTTAGTGTGTTCCCTTGGTCTGTTCCAGAGTCTGGAAGAACAGATGGCCCAGGAAGAGGAGACAAGCCAAGCCCTGAAAGAAGAGGCAATGAGAAGGGAAAACGCTCTGCAGCAGCTCCGTGCAGCTGTGAAAGAGGTCAGGGGAGTGTTTGGAATGCCCAAGTGTAGCATTGCATGAATTGGCTTTTAGCAAGGCCCTGAATTTGCAGTCAGCAGCACAACCTCTCCTGCTAGTCAGGTGTCCTGTCAGGGCTCTGAAAGGAGCTGTGCTGTGCTCAAGAGCAGGAGAAAGGCAGTTCTGCCTCCGGAGCTCCAGCTGGATGTGCTGGAGGAAGCTGAGCTTGCCAGCTGGGGGCAGCAGGGCTGCAAGCAGAGCCCAGGAGAGAATCCAGCCCTGGCTGAGCCCTGCTCGAGCCTAAAGGAAGCCAAGCACAAGGCAACCCTTGTGGGAAGGGATAGCCAGTGCTGTTGGGCTGCACAACCTTCTGGAAGCTTATTTGCTTGCATGATGGCTCAGCAGGGACAGTGCAGTGTCATGGGGCACTGTCTGAGCCAGGAGAGCTGAAAACACACCCTGTGTCAGTGACCCTCACCTGGGGAGGGTCTGGAGGGCTCCATGCACCAGCTCCTGCCCTCAGTGCTCCCATCGTGGAGCAGTTAAGCTGCTTTAGGTGTGGTGATGAGTGCCAGGTGAGCACTAACCTGCTGTGTGCCCGTGCCCAGCTCTCTGTGCAGAATCAGGATCTGATCGAGAAGAACCTGACGCTGCAGGAGCAGCTCCGCCAGGCTGAGCTGGCACAGCCCCTGCCTGCTGACACAGCCCACCTCACCCAGGAGCTGCATGGAGAGCTGGCCAGCTGTCTGCAGGATCTGCAGTCTGTCTACAGCATTGTCACTCAGAGGGCTCAGGGCAAGGACCCCAACCTCTCTCTGCTGCTGGGCATTCACTGTAAGTACTGAGCAGTGGCAGAGCAAACCTTACCCATCCCTGTGCTGTGGCAGAGTGAAATAACTCACCTAGAGCATGGAAGGTTCTCATCTTTCTGGGTTTCTGAGCCCTCTCTTTATGGTTAGCTCACTCTAAAGGTGCATGCTGTAATGACTGAATGTCAAGTAGAACCTCTTTTGCAAATGTGTGATATCCTTGGTCAGAATTGCATGTGAAGAAATTCCCCTCTCTTGACTCCACAGCTGTGCAGTACTCTGCGAAGGAGAAGGATGACTTGCTGAGCCCTGATAGACTTGCAAAGAAACTGGTGGAGGTAAAACAGCTCCACAAAGAGGTGGAGGACTTAAGGACTGCAATATCTGACAGATATGCTCAGGACATGGGAGACAACTGCATCACCCAGTAAAGAACACTCCCCAAAGTAGGGCAGGAAGTGAAGACTTGAAACCCTCAGGAGCCTCAAGCTCCCTCAACTCAAAATCTATTCAGCACTTTACCATCCCTCTGCTTGGGGACAAGATGGGACTCATCTGATCCATGAGGAATCAGGGGTTTTATTGCCAGAAGTGTTGAGCTGCTGACTGGCTAACTGGAATGGTTCAGGGCTTCGGTGTCAGGCTTTGCAGTAGCTTTGATCTTGTGGAATGTGTTTAATGCTGTGTTTGCTGGAGCTGGTGTGTGTGGTCTCTGATGCTGGGAGATGAATTTTGACTTGCCTTCCAGGCATATCAAATGCTGAACATGCAAATGTGCCAGTTAAAATCATCTCTAAAAGGAAATGTATGCCTTGGTGTTTCTGATAAGTTCTCTGTGCAGGTCCTGTGTGACTAGTGAGACCAGAGGATTAGTGGGGTGTTCAGGGGATGTTTGGATTTCTTAGGCAGGCAGGTGTGCCAGTTGCACTGCTGGTATTTCCATTGAGGTGCTGCCAACTCCTCAGATGCTGTGTGCATAGTTCTGGCTTGGATTTATGGAGCAGGACCTGCTTTCCTCAGGTAAATGCAACCAGAGTCTTTTAGTAACCAACAGCAATTGGGGGGAAAAAAACCCCTAACACTAAAAGAAGACTCTGGAAATGTTCCCCCCTGGGCACTGCTACCCCAGAAGCCTTAAGTCTTTTGCCTCTCCCCCCAAAATAGCACTTCAAGTCGGGTATGATTCAGCCTGCAGAGGAAGTGGATTGATGCTGAAGTGCCTTAATGTACTGGAGAAAACCCTCTGTCCCCACACTGCTTCGTGCCTAATGCATCTGCTGGCAGGTGAGGAGCTGCTGTTCCTTCTCACAGCCTTTTAGAGCCATCACAAACAATCCTGGGGAGCCCCAAATGTCTTTGGGCCTTGCCAGAGCCTCAGAGAGCCTCTGTGCTCCCCCCCAGGGACCTCTGCTTGGCTCTCCACTGCTTTATAGGAGAAAGCCATACTGGTCCTAGTGGGCAGGGACAGCACACAGAGCTTTCTGCAAGGCAGTGGCCACTTGGGCTTTGTTGTAGCCCTGTCCCTCCTTCCCTGCTCCTCTGCAAGCAATGGGATTTCCAAACAGATTGGTGTGGGATGAGTTCACTCTACCACAACCTCCTTAACCTTAGTGACAACTTGACAGCAGTACAGTGCTGAGGGTGGAATTTCGTTGGTTTTCAGCTTGAGTTAAGAGCA